CAATTGAGCAACATATCATGGCTGCGAATTATTTTGTGCCATATGGTTTACCCTTGAACCTGATCCTTGTAATGGCGAAAAGGAAGATACTAAAGGATGTGTATATGTAGAAGTGTTATTTTGAATTCCTGCCATGAACAAAATTGGCATGCCATATATTGGACCTGATGTTGGGATTGTGAACCCTGGTGCATATGTTCTAGAGACACTGCCTACTGAAGGTCTGGGGGTTACGGGTGGAATTTGACTGGCCACATATATTATAATAGGTTTGTTTTGTGTGTTTGATAATATGGATAGAGCATTTGTATTTGGGGGTATGACTGTAGAATTTGTATTCGAGGAGATAATTGCAGTCCCTTGACTTACTGGCATGGCTTCAATTGTATTCAAAACGCTCGTATTCCCTCATGTGGAAGGAGGAACTTGTTGTGCATCGCTAACGGGTGGGTTAGCCATTTTCCTATTGTATTGCCTTTTTGGTCTAGGATATGTGGTATTGGCTAATTTTCCACTTCTTAATCTCATGCAATAAAATAAGTTAGGAAACACAGATTATTGAAAAAAAACTAAATACTAGACAGAGTCCCACTGGGCGTGCCAATTTATTTACCCTGGAATTTGATAAACAACCGCTGATCCTCTAAATCCTTTAACAGATTCAGTTACTTAAAGGATCGGTCAGATTGATCTCAGAACTATTGTGTTCAATCATTTAGAAAGCATGTTTTGATGATAATCTCTTTAAACAAAAGGAATCACTTTGCACGTCAAAGTGAAACTTCTTTATAAAAGTAATGAAATATAAACTAGTCTAGACTGAGAATTGTAAAGAACGTAAATAACGTAAAGAAACTTCATTGAATGTAAATGACATTGAATATAAAATATGGTGCGTCATACGTACATTCTTGTTAACTCTTTTCTCGAAAACTTGTACTTTGAGTATTTTGTACAAAGATGTGAACACACTAAATTGAAACACAAAAGCTACAATTTTTAGAACTTCGACCCTAACGGTCTCCTAACAAACTAATGCCACATTTTCGCTGGCATGTCTTCATCCAAGAGATTCCACGCGTCCTTCTAGATAAGAATGAATATTCGAATTCAAACCCTTCTATATCCGTCTTGAGCGTCAAAACCAATAAAATCTGATAACGGTCGAAGTATAAAGTCTTAAACCATGTTTTGAATAATAAATTTATTTCGCAATTCGAATTATAAACTATCCATCAATCTCTTAACGAATTTCGAATTTGAATCTTCGTGGCTTTTAACAAACAAAATAGCCAAACAATTCTCTAAGTATATTCAGACCATTGATTCAGCTCAACTTCTCCTTAGTCGAAATTTCCAGCCAACAGTGGGACATTTATTTTCTGCAATTTACCGTTTTCCTTATTATTTCTAGTAACTAGGGTTTGTATGACAAGACTAAAATCAAATATAGTAAAACCCTAATTCAAGATAAAATACTTGAATCAAACACACTTTGCACACATGCACCTCTAGGGTAAACCTCACTTGTTGCCTCAGATATAAATAGTCATGTCCCTCGAACGTGGGATGCTTTAGCAAAGACCCTCAATTAAAAGATCATAGTCCTTTGATGACCCTTCGATGTTGCCTTCGATAGACGATCTTAGTCCCTTACAATAAATTGCTAAAGCGTCTTACAAGTTGCCTTCTATGACTGTACGATGACTCACGTCTGTCTCTCACATCCAGTGATAGGGATCCCTACTAACTAATAGTGGGATAGCACTATCTAAAGGAGGAGGAAAAGAACAAATACTTTTTGAGTAGGTAGATCGCTCGTAATTGCTTGCTCACAAATTAAAACAATTTCCACATTTCACACTTTCAAGATAACTATCTTCAAAACACTCTTCAAAATAAACATTTTGTACACATTCTCAACGATACGAGAATCTTTACAAAATTGCCTTACATTGGCATTTTCAAAATATCTTTCACAAAACAACAATTCCTTTCACTAAATATTTTCAAAACAAACATTTTGTATACATTCTCAACGATACAAGAATCATTACAAAATTATCGCACTTAGGCATTTTCAAAATATTTTCAAACATACACAAACACAAAGCATTTCAAAGTGAGCTAGCAATTAAGAGCCCGTAGATAACTACGGATGAAAAGAGTGATAACACCTTCCCTTTTCATAACCTACCCCCCGAACTCAGGAAAAATTCTCAAAAGGTTTTTCCTGTTCTTTTCAACCTTTCCTTTACTGGATAAAAGAAAAGTCGGTGGCGACTCTTGCTATCTGCAATATTTGCGATAAAACGGAAAACACCAAGTCAGTTCTCCCACCATATTACAGATGTATTTTTTGATAAATGTTGTTGTTTTTGTTATTGTTAATGTTATTCCTTGTACATTGCAACTTTCATTTTGTTCAACCAACATGTCTTGAAAGATAAGTTTATTATATCGTATATGGTTTGAGTGTTTTCACCAACTCTTCACTAACTATATTGTTAACAATAGTGAACATATAGAAACATAGAGAAGGAAAAGGATATGTTAGCTTAGGATATCAACAAAATGAGCAAAACTCTTCAGAGTTAGAGTTACACTAGAGTATAAATGAAAGACTGAACTACCCCTACAAAGATATAATAAAACAATATAATAATAATAATAATAATAATAATAATAATAATAATAATAATAATAATAATAATAATAATAATAATAATAATAATAATAACTAACATCTCCCCTCAAACTCAAGATGCATTAACAGAGACCATCGAGAGTTTGTCAATCAAAAAACAAAAACGTTTAATGAAATGTGTCTTCGTAAACAAATCAGAAATTTGTAAAACGGAAAATACAAATGGTAGAGTAATTATCTCATGCTAAAGATGATGGCGAGTGAAGTGACAATCAATCTCAATGTGTTTGGTACATTCACGAAAGACCTAGTTGTGAATAATTTGAGTGGCACTTTTATTATCACAATACATAAGAGTTATTTCAGAAAGAAAGACACTCATATAAGAAAGTAACCAACGCAACCAAACTATTTCAGTAGCAGTGGATGTCATAGCATAATACTCAGCTTCTGTAGAAGAACGAGAGACAATATCTTGTTTCTCACTATTCCAATAAATAAGAGGGCCTCCAAGAAAGATACAAAATCATGTGGTAGATTTACGATTTGTGGGGTCGCGAGCCCAATCAGCATCAAAATAAGCATGTAGTTCCAATGAGGACGATGAGGGAAATAGAAGGCTTTGGAAATGGGTTCCTCAAAGATAACGACATATCCGAAGAACAATTGCCCAATGTATTATAATAGGAGGGACAACAAACTGACTAACAACATGAACAACATGAACAACATAAGTAATATATGGTCTAGTAATCGTAAGGTACACGAGGCTGTCAACCAAAGTACGATATAAGATGGGATTTGACTGAGGAACACCATTAGATGAAGCATATTTCACATTCAACTTAAGAGGACTACCTGATACTCTAGTATCAGAAAGACAAGTCTGTTTAAGAATGTTGCCAATATACTTAGATTGAGAGAGAAGATAATCTTTTGGATAGTAGGCAACTTCAATGCCCAAAAAGTAGCGAAGAGTGCCTAAGTCCTTAATCTCAAATTGTTTGGCTAACTGTAATTTTAAATCATTAATTACATCCATATCATCACCTGTAATAATCATATCATCAACATATAATGAGAGTAAAATACGACCATAAGTAGTCTTGACAAACAAAGTAGAATCATGACCACTAGAGCGAAAGCCAATAGATATAATCACAATGGTAAACTTCTCAAACCAAACTCGCGGAGCTTGTTTTAGACCATATAATGCCTTCTTCAACTTACACACTTCCCCTTGATAATGAGAAACACCTTGTGGGGTACCTGTAAACTTCCTCTTGAAGATCACAACTTAAAAATACATTTTTAACATCCATTTGAAAAATATGCCCTTAACGAACAAATACAACTACAATAAAAAGGCGAATAATAGTCATCTTAGCAAGAGGAGCGAGAATTTCTTCCCGATCAAAGTTATTATTTTATTTTTTCACAAAAATTGACCAAGGTAACAAAGATAAAAAGAGAAAGAGGGAAAATTGAAATTTTTTAATAAGGAGAAGACCTTGATGAGAGTAAATAAATAGATAAATAAATAAATAAATATTAACAAAATTAAAAAGAAAAAAAGAAAAAGAAGAAAGAAAGAGGAAGAACAGGAACAGTGGAACACTGAGATCGAGCTACACATGAAGCACAGACCAAACTGAGTTTCCAAATTTCTATGCAATTTCCTCAACTTCTCTCTACTCACAGCTCAATCAATGTATATTCATAACCCTCCATTTTTTGTTCTTCATTCTGCTTCATTTCATTCAATTTGCAAAATTTTCACTCTTTTATTGCTAATTTTTTATTTGCTCAATTTTGTTCATTTCAGTGATCTCTTCATTGTTCAAAGTTTGAAGCTTTTGGGGTTTCACGGAGCAATGAGGGTTTTCTGATCGGTGCAAGTGATGTAATGTTTTTCTTCAACGCAAGCATGGTGTTTTGGGCCCTTTAGTTTGCTTGATCAAACTCAGGGTTTTGATTTACCATAGAATTGTTGAATTGGGTGTGATTTGAGTGATTTGATTCTCATGGGTAGTGTGTTTTTTCAGCGGTTTGATCTCTAGGGTTTTGGGGTTTGGGAAATTAAGATTTGGTTTTGCATTGTGGGGATTGTTGATTTGTGAAATTTGGGCAAAAGGGTAACTTCATTGATGTTCAAAATTGGTTTTTTATCTACCGGGTGTTTGGGTATGTTGAGGCTGTGGTGGTTGATTTATGTTCAATGATGTGTGATTGTGTAGTGTTTGAGGAGTGCTTTGGAAATAGATATAACTGTAATTTGGCTCAAATTGAGGTTACTGGTGGGTGGGTTGTTTTCTGACTTTGTTGGAAGGTGTATGAATCTGTTTGTCGAGAAATGCAACCTCAACAGAGCTCAAGAATCAATTTGGGTGAGTTGAAAGTACTGATTGTAAAGAAGATTGGAGTGGAAAAGTCGAAGCGGTACTTTTATTACCTGAACAGGTTTTTGAGTCATCAGTTGAGCAAGAATGAGTTTGATAAGTTGTGTTTTCGGGTACTCGGGAGGGAGAATCTTCCGTTGCACAATCATTTTGTCAAGTCAATTTTGAAGAATGCCTGCCATGCTAAGACTCCACCACCTGCTAGGCCGTCAGGTTCTTCCAGATCAGGAGCACGTGTTACTAATTTATCTCCTGGTAGGGAAGATGGACGCGAGCGAAGTGTTGCTAATGTGAACTTCCAGAATCATGATGTTTCTGTTTGGTCAAATGGGGTTTTGCCAGTGTCCCCGCGTAAGGTGCGGACTGGAATGCGTGACCGGAAGCTTAAAGATAGACCGAGTCCCCTTGGACCAAACGGGAAAGTTAATTCCGTTGATCATCATTGCATGGAGAACGGAGCTATTACTCCATGTGATTATCAGCGACCAACACAACATCTTCAAGCAGTTGCTGAGCTACCTAAGAATGCTACGGGGGATGATATTCAGGGACTAGCCAAAAAGCCAAGAACACGTGTAAAAGGTCTGACTGAAATGTCGACCGTGGAAGATGGAGAGGAGGTAGAGCAACTAAACCGCCTCAGTTTTACCAGAAGTACTCTGATAGCCCCACTTGGGATTCCTTACTGCTCTGCAAGTGTGGGTGGGGCCCACAAAGCAGTGCCTGTGAATAGCACGGGTAATTTTGTCGGTTATTGTGACAGTGGCAGGTTATCTGATCCAGATACGTTGAGAAGGCACATGGAGCAGATTGCAATGGTACAAGGTCTTGGAGGTGTTTCTATGGAATGCGCAAGTATGTTGAATAGCGTTTTGGATGTATACTTGAAACGGTTGATAAAGTCTAGTGTCGATTTAGTGGGAACTAGGTCTGCAAATCAGCAGACGAAGCTCCCTACAACAAATCAGCAGATTCAGGGGAAGGCCATTAGTGGCACGTTGCCTAATAATCATTTACATGTGCATAGTACCGGTAGGATCGCGGAACCCGAGCCTGAGCGAAGACCCCGGTTCTCAGTATCTTTGAATGATTTTAAAGTTGCGATGGAGCTAAATCCACAGCAACTTGGAGAAGATTGGCCACTACAATTAGAGAAAATTTCTATGCAATCCTTTGAAGAATAACACAGTAAATTTTTTTTTTCTTTTACTTAAGCAAAGGCTGGGTCTGTTTCTTCTGGTTCTGATAGCTCGGCCGTAGTTGGTGATTATCGCCGTACTTTGCTCTGTCCATATTGCCAAGATGAACCAGAAGGCATCCGAATGGAGAAATGCTAGCCCTTCCAAGATCAAGTGCTGCTTCCGAGCTTTCAAATGTTTTACCTCTGCCATGTCCTGGAGCTAGCATGGATCAGAAATATATTTAACTGCAACCAAGTGTACTATCAAATGAAGCCCAAGATTGGTTGCACTGTTGTATGTGTAGAATTGATATTGGCTGTATTGTTGCTATTGCAAGAGAACTCAAGGCTTTTGTTTGCATTACAGCCAATGAAGAGACTCGGAAAAAGTTTGCAGGAATACTATTGTGTAGCTGGGTCAAGAAACTGTGACATGTATAATAAGAGTTGAAGGGTTGATCTAAATGTAATTTTAGAATATGACGATTGGTTTAGATTCAATATTAATAACACGTCAAGATCTATTAAAGTTTCCTTGATGATTTCTGTTTTCTCGTTGATTTTCTTGGTCCAAATTTGACCAATATATCTGAATTAGATTTTTGTTTTTTACTTTATTCATCATGTAGATCTGTAAGTTACATGTGTCTTTCAGTTCAAATCAGTTCTAGTGAAAATAAATGAATATCTGACTTCATGTTACTACACTTTTTAAATTTTGATATTTCTCTGAATACTATAATATGATTCTGTCATAAATCTGAAGATATGTAAGTGTTCCTGAGATATGGAGAGAACTTGTAACTTACTTATACCGATAGCCTGATATTTTGGACTTGTTAGTTAGAGTTAGTATATAAAGATATGGTCAAGCAATCATCAATCAATCACGAAGAGCGCTTCATTTTGACCTCGATATTCTAATACCGATAGCCTTGCATGTTTTTGCAGGCACATAGAAGAAGTTTTGAAGATTATTTAGGTAAGAAATATTCTTGCTGGTTGGAACTAGTTTTGGACAGTTACTGCTGCAATAGTCAAAAGTTCTGCAAGTAGCTGCTTCCGTTGTAAGTCAAACTTCTCAGAAATGCGAGCACTTCCGATGGAAGACTCTTATCGGGTTTGATAGCTTAGATACCGCGTCGCCTTAGTCTTTAAGTTGGGCTTGGGATACAGATTTTGTTGTTGCAGAAGTTGCACATCTTCTCAAAGCTTGATTCATGTGATTTCATTGTGTTTGAAAGATCTGTTGAGGGCCATATTCTCAGAGAGAAAAGTGTTAGTAACACTCAGGCCTTGTCTGAATTTATAATGTGATAGTAAAAATTAACAGTTAAAGTCATTTATCACCTTTTAAACAACATAAAAAAAACTATTTTTAGTTAAGATTACAGAGAAAAAAAATGATAAGGTATGAATTACTTGAAATTAACTTTTCAAAAATAAACTATATGATGATAAAAATCAATTATAAACTCGTAAAAGAACTGACAAATAATATATATATTTTAAATATATGAACTTAAAATTTATAAGATATGCATAAACTCGAAAACTGATCTAATCAAGTAGATTTTAGAAGAGAAAATATAAATATGTTAAAAAGGCTCAATATAAAAGAAACGATTTTCATTTGAAAAAATCAATAAAAAAATGTTTTTATAATATCAATAAAAAAGTTTAAATAATTACAACAATTTAGTAAATTATCTTGTATAACATAAAAGTGAAAAATAACTTTTAAATAAAAATATGATAATACTAGAATATTGCTATTAATATTTTTTTTAAATGTTGATAAAATCCGACTCAATTTGTGTTGAATTGACCTTATAAACACTTTCTAACCCATGACTCTTTTAATAGTTAAAATGCAAGTGAGTCTCAAACTATAAAAATAAATTCACTTAAAATAGTGAGATATGTATATATGATTTTTAGAGTCTATTTCCGGGTTGATTTTTAAAGAATTTTTAGAGTCTAAAAGTGATCTGGATTAGGCCTATACACACCCTTCGAATGAGAAGTTTAAAGACAGCCCAAGTTAGGAACCGTTGGACAACTCCCCATCCGACCGTTGGAGGACGTGGCCCACGATCCCATGACAGACATCTTAAATTGTCCTCCGAAAATCACGGGTCTAATCCTATTCTCGCGGAGCAGTTGACCAGAGGGAAGCCCACTTGTTGTACTCCATACACACGTAAGCCCTGACAATTCCTGTTATTGGGCCTCCACGTGGCCCAATAGTGAGAACTTTGGCCCAGCGCTGGGGGCTATAAATACCCTCTCTCTCAAGAGGGTCAGGTATTCAAATTCATCTATAAACTCATACTTGCTTGCTCATTCCGCTTCTTACTTTGCCATCAAAGTGTCTTGCAGGTATCCCCTCATCTCATTCAAATTCTTCCCGAGCCAGCTGTGATGGTCCATTTCTGATCCGGTAAGATCAGTGGCGCTGTATGTGGGAAACTTACTTCCCCGTCTTCTATTCACTTGAGACCAAAGCTAAATAATCCCCGACTGTCATGGCTGACCAGACTCCAGACAACATGAACGTCTGTGTCATCGACGTTAATAACAACATAGCCGACAACAATGTCGGCCTCGACAACATCGGTACAGCCGACCACAACACAACTCCCAACGTCAATATGCTCGGGCCTTCTAAATACAGAGACGAAGCAACTGCTTCGTCATCATCTCTGCCTCGCCGACATGAAGATGATCGGCCACCTCCCCATAACTACCAACACGTCCAGTTACACGAGGTCCCCGTCCCCGCAGGGGCAGACGCCACGACCAGGGCACTGTTTGCGGAAATCAATCAAACCAACTACCTAATCTTCGCCCAGGGGGAAAGACTGAGAACGCTTGAGGACGATCAGAGGCCCCCAAGAAGACACAGGAGACCTCAATCTCCTCCTCCTCGACAAGCAGAGGAACATCCCCAATCTCCCCCGCGGAGACATAGTTGGGACATCTCTCAAAGCCCGTCACCCCGACCACTCGGGCGACGACCCCCCTTGGAGAGGGAGAAACTCGTTGATGCGGGGAGGCGCAATCACGGCCCCCGCGTCAAGAACAAAGACCCCCTGGAGACAGGAACGGGGGAAACCACCAACGGTCATACCGCCCGAGGACCGCTCTGCGTGAACGGGGTCATCGTGACTGCCACTACATCAAATCTCTGTCTCGCTCGCCCAAATGGAGCGACGAGGACGACCCCCGCGGTCCCTTATCACAAGCTATCATGGAGGCTCCCATTCCCCCGGGAATGGAGAAGCCTCCCCACCTGAAGGAATATAACAGCATCTCCGACCCAGTCGACCACATAGACGGGTTTGAGGCCATGTTGCACTATCACAACATCAGGGGACCGATCAAATGCTGGTTGTTCCCCACGACTCTGAGGGAAGCTGCGATGGATTGGTACAAAGGTCTCACCCCGGGGTCAATTACCTCTTGGAGAAATCTGAAGAACCAGTTCATCAGTTCATTCACTGCTTCGCGACGACATCCAAAGACCGAAGCAGCCCTCGAGGCCATCATCCAGAAACACGATGAGACCCTGAGTGAATTCATTGACCGGTTCAACCGGGAGGCCATCCAGGTCCCCTGTACGGACCACATGAAAAGATACCTGCTCGAGAGGGGACTCCTCCCAGACACTGAATTCAGAAAAGTCGTAGGTATCGAACCACCCCGGATGTTCGATGCCCTCCTCGAGAAGGCCAGAGCCTATATGGACTACGAGGAGAGAGAAGCGGCCAACAGATCTCGAGATCCCAAGAATCGCGTATCTACCAGTAATCCACGACAAGACACCGTCCCCTCCTCGATGAACTGGCGAGAAGAGAAGGGACGACAAACCCTGAGACGCTCGGGAATAAAGGGGGCCCTAGGGGAGGTTCACTTAATACACTCCGCTAACGGCTTCCCGCGAGCGCATCTTAACAGAGTGCGCAAATACATATTTCAAGGACGACGGCATCAAGTGTCCTCGCCCCGCTCCTGCTAAACCTGGGGTAGACCGAAGCAAGTACTGCCAGTATCACCGGAGCCACGAGCACTTGACCTAAGATTGCATTCATCTTAAGGACGCCATCGAAACCCTCATAAAGGGGGGAAGACTTGAGCAATATCGGCGAGGAGACGTCCCTCGACAAGATGCCCGTGAGACAAGGGAAGTTGAAGAGGATGCCCGACCATCTGATGAGTCAGTTCCCATCCAAACCACGTTCTCCGTCACGAGACCTGAGGACTTCTACGTCCCCGAACACCTGCAAGATCCTCTGTCCATGCACAGCAGGTGGGAAAACATCCCCTTCGCCATGGTTATCAATGGTGAAGGGTTTAATGATTTGACCATAAATTCAGCAAAGAGGAAGCTGGATGAACTGGTCGACGCGGCTCCCCTGCAAACGGTGACCTTTGAAAGGGTGAAAGGCATATCAGAGCCGATCACCTTTTACCTCGAGAAGCTCCCCGGAGGGGGCCCCAATTCAGTCACCCCTCTTCTGATAAGGGCGAGAATGGCCAACTTCGATGTCCATCGCGTCTTGGTTGACGAGGGAAGTTTCGTCGACGTGATGTACAGCCAGCTGTTCAGAACCCTGTAGCTCGATGACTCTCACCTTTTACCATACGTGGGGTAAGACCTACAGGGCTTTAATGGCTCGACCTCCAAGTCGTGGGGGTACGTGGAGCTTATGGTCACCTTGGGAGAGGATACCGCTACCAAGAAGGTCAAGGTTCACTTCCTCGTCATCGACTGCCCATCCCTCTACAACTGCATCCTCGGGAGGCCGACGCTGGCAGAGCTGACCGCGGTGCCCTCCACAGTCCACTTAAAGATAAAGTTCTACACCAAGAGGGCACGGGTCTCCACTATTCAAGGCGACCTAGCAGCCGCCCGAAGATGCTTCAACGTGGCGGCCAAGGGACACAGTACAGTCGACACCGGGATACGGCCCACCAAGAAAGTTGCAACTGCATGATCAG